TATTTTTTTGCCAAAGCATATTAGTTTAGGTAGATTTCGAATGACATCAGGGTCTAGGATAAGCAACCTAGGTACACTGGTAGACAATTACACAGCAGGATGATACAGCAATACTGTCTGAAAAAGAAATATACTTAGATGCGGATCGGTTACATACAGAGTCTTTGTTCTCCAAATGAACACACAATGAATGCAGCGAAATTAATGCGGTATCAATCCCTAGCATATGTGGAAAAACTTATTGCTGAAAGACAGGCAGATAATGACTTTGTAGAGGTCTGCTGGCCTGGAAAACTATTTTCCTCACTAATTTTGTATAATTAATTTCACATTAATTACCTTAAAAGTGAGAAATTTATTTCATATGTGACTGATAAGAAGTTTGAAAATGACTGACCGTTTTAAAAAAAGCTAATTTTAAAGTGAAATAAGAAATTATATTGATAGAAGGCGTGAAAAACTGCCTTCCAAATAAAATCCTAGTGACTTCATTAAGGTGGTTGTAAGCCACCTAAAAGAGTGAAAGGTTTCTTGTTTAAAGAGCATAGAAATAATGAAATTTATCATACTGTTTTGTATACTTTGAAAAAGTAGGAAGATATGAGAGGGTAAATGTGATTCTTGCAGCATTTTTATTAGGATTTAATCATATGAATAAAGCTGCTTTAAGTGGGATTCAATGAGATAATAATCTGAAATAAGCATTAAACAGTTTGTAGTTGTTGAACTCTAGTGGTTATGACACTGTTTTGACTGCATTACTTCAGCGACGTAGTGTTTATTCACTGACTGTAACTGCATTGTCACTGTGTACAGTCACACATCGACCTATCGCAGTATACATAACCATGTAATTGGGTGCCGGCAGAACGCTCAATAGCCGAACGTATGATCCAGGTTAAATATCCGACCAGTGCAATTTTTAACCAGACCAGAAAAGGGGGAAGGTTGGGTATGAATATAGCAATACAACTCAATCGCTACGTAAACTTCGAACCTAAGTTTGAAAACTTGCGTTCCACTCAAAACGCAAAGAATGAAAATAACTGGAGAGTTTATTCGTACTACTGAATTACTGTAGGTTAATGAAATAAATAGATAGTTATATGAATTTCAGGATTTCATCATGAATTGAAATCGGTTAGAGGACTTTTGAAAAACCTGGGAGCACTGAACAGCTGTTTCGTCCTAGTTATGGACTACCCATCAGTGCACACCCACCGGGGTTTGAACCTAGGGCCTTCTAGTAACAAGGCGAGCGAGCTCGTACACCATGAAGGCACTGCGACCCGATCCAGTGGTTCACGGATTCTAACTTCTGCCAATTCATGATGTGGCGTGACCACTAACAAATGTTATCGGCGAGTATTCGTCCTCACACCCGACCTCCTGTTCCCTACTGGTTACTATTTTCCAAAAATACCCAAGTAACCACCTACTCGAATACCATGAATTGGCGGAAGTTAGAATTCATGGACCGGTGGACCGAGTTCCTGTGGATTAATGGCCTACGAGCTCAGCATGTAGCCAGAAGGTCCTTGGTTTGAGCCCCAGTGGGGGTGCACTGATGGGTAGTCCCAAACTAGGACAAAACAGCTGTCCAGTACTCTCAGGCCTTCCAATGGTACTCTAATCAATATCTGCTGACGATGAAACCCCGAAACCAGTCAAATCCCTGCAAACCAGCACTTGAAGTTATATGAATGTTCTGCCTTCTATGTCTTGAAACGATAACTCCTCTGTTTAGATAAGAGATAAAGTTATAGAAAATTCTTACATAAATAATAAGTTGATTGACATATTAATAAGTTTATTAAGCTTAGTACTCTTAGTAAATAGAAAATAAAGTAAGGTGAATGGTGACTTTTTAAGTGTGAATAAACAATAACAACCTAAAAACAATTAAGTTTGTCTTAATAAGGGATCATTGAAAAAACTAGATCATATCTGAGTGGCAATAGTTTGCCATGAGAAATGTTTTCCATCAAAAAGGCTGTCTTTTTTCACTTAAGCATTATTACTTTGTCGAGTATTTCGCTTGGCTACAAACAAGCAGAATCATGGTACGCAGTGTACTAACATGCAGATAGAAGTGGAACTCGGTAAAGTTATACCTAACAAAGTTAGTCACTGGATTTGAAGGTTTTCTTTAGTTTGTTAATGTTTTATTCTATTGTTTGTATTATACAGTTAATCACAGTTTTAAATATATGTTGATTATACTTCTTTTGAGCTATTTTTTTATATGAGTATAAACAATAAGGTCTGAAACTCTCACTTTGGTTTATGAATCTTGCATTTCATGCTTTAATTCAAATGATTATAAAGATGGTGCCAAGTAATGAAAGAACAAAGGGTGGTCAACGTGTTTCTTTTCAGTATCAAGAATAAACTCTGTCAATGTCGTTATAAACAACCCACTGATAGCATCAATAGTTGTGTTTTGGAGTAAATAAATATGTAACAATAGGGTTTCAATGAACGTCACCAATAATAATAATAGTAATAGTAGTAGCAGTTATATTATCAAGTGTTAGTTTGTAGAGATTTGATTGGTTTTTAGTTTGATCACGGAAGACGTCAGTTAGAAAACTACTGGAGACTTAGCAGTACTAGAAGTCGTCACTAGTGAATTTCCCAAGGTCGAGTATGAAGACAAATACTCACAGACGATGTTGCCTAGCAGTGGCGCTAAAAGTAGTGAATTGACAGAAATTAACATTTATAGGCTATTGGATTCTGTCCAAGTATTTGAATAGTCAGCGAGTTTTCCTCACAACCTGAAGATAGTAGGCTCAGTCACTAGTGGGGTGGTGGGTGAGTACCGATGAAGAGCCTCACATTGGGACAAATCAGATGTCCATTAATCCTTGGTTTTCAATGTGCCTCTAACTTGTATCGATCCAACATCAAATAAAAGTGAACGACAAGATAAACAGAAATCATTCAAGTCTCAATAATCGCAATTTAAATCAGTTAAAGATGACAGTTTGAATGATATTTTGCATTAATTTATAGTTTATATTTACTTTCGGTTCAAAAGTAAATCCTGGGTTTTTAAATAGTTTTATCAAGAAGACACCACGAATAAAAATGAAACAGAAAAGAAAAAGTAGCGACGTAAAGTAATTTTCTTGCAGATTCCCTAAAACCCTCAGATAAACATTTGAGAACAACTGATGGGTGTCATATTAACACAACAGCTCAGTGCTGGAAGTGACACCTCTTTAGTAGTCTTTGGTCTTTATGTATACTTATTCAATATTAATTTGGGATTCAAACGAGAGATTCCTTATTTATTATATACATATGTGTAGGTATACATTTATAGTCTCAACTTTTGATTCATCCCAGTGTTAAACGTCGAATAAATCTTGAAAAAAAGATTTTAACGCAATAAAAGTTATTTCACGATTACGCATAAATAAATTCCAGTTTTCTTCGATTGGACACTAGGTACTAATTAATGTTGTGCTTCTGGTCCTTTGTTTGGCACAGACTGAATTCTGTCATCCAAGTTTTTGATGTCACTAGCATTTTAGGTAGCTCACCACCACAATGAACTGCTAATTGTTGTTGCTAGATCGATGAAGGCCATCAGAGTACATCGTGCTGTTGAGCTGCCTAGTATGAGTTTCTTCAAGGCTGAAGATGCAACTTGCTGACTGGTGAACGCTAACAAGTGTGAAACTTGTGTTCATGGCTTCATACAGATTGCCCCTAGCCATCCAACAACAAAATTCAGTTTACTTGATATATCATGTATTCAATATAACATAATACTAGACTAAATAAGCTGAATAAGGTAGTCTAACCTAAGCTGAGTGGAAAAGAAATATGAACAGTAATATTTCCGGACGCTAATGAATTCACTTATATATGTATATACATTCACAAATGTTTACATAACCTGAAAAGCCACATTTTCCTCAAACAACCTCTCAATTTGTATTCTGGCTATATTTTATTTAATCTGGAAATGTCATATCGCCCGCTCTATATATGATTCTATTGAATAAATAAATATAGACAAATTTAAGCCATGAAAATGAATTTATCGCCTTTTTCAGTCTCCGAAGACGTGGAGAATGTAAACATTTTAACCATGATATGAATTCCGCATAGTGACAGAACAATCTAACATACTATTTTAAAGTTCTAGACAGATAACATTGTAGTGGTTTAAAGTGACCTGTTGTAATCTGAACTCAGAAAACCAGTCGTTGCGTTTTCCTTTGGTTACGCACAGTCATAAAATGTCCCAACATCAGTAAAACAGCGGTTATTTGTGATAAAATCTGCGGTACTTTTTAACAATAATAACACATTAAAACTCAAAATTACCTCAACAATGCCCTTTAGGCAACTATACGGATCTCAAATGCAGAACAAGTACTATACGACAAAATTAGTTAGCCGAAATCAACGTAAGAAGCACCTAGGAAGTGAGTAGAGTATTTCCATTAAGGTAGGATCAAAACTGTGTCAGCAAGAATCGCGCACCAGACACATCTTACAGACAGCCCAAGATCGAAATCCCGACGGAAAACCCTGACCTCATTCAAATAAAATCAACGCATGGTCAATACTATCAAACAATCGCAGAGAGAGGCGTTTAAATTAGTAATCACACAAAGACAAATAGTAAGGATTAAGTTAAAAAGTGATGCGCAAACGTCAGAACAATGATGTGTAACTTAGGAGGAAAGGGGGTAATAATTACAAAGTTAGTTGAAATGTCTTAATGAGTATCAGTATTCTTATTAGGTCGCTCAGGACGGACTCCTCAAATAGTTGTCCCTTTACAAACATTGTTATGACCATTCAAATTATATTCCGAAGCTTTTACTCACACCGTTCAGTAAGATATATATGTCAAACTGGCGGAATAAATTTCCTTAAACAGTGTTTTAAAAACGTTTTTGAAAACGCGCTTAAAAATAAGTCACAATTATAGTATTAAAACAACGAAGTGTTATAAAGTGCGAAACATTACTTACCGGAATAGTTGAACAGCATGTTATTAAGCCTTCTGATAATGGATGAGTTGAATATTCCAAATTTTTTGGTTTTGTTAAGCACATTGATGTAGTAGGATCAATAGTTAACAAATGTGTTGCACACTGTTGTTGTGAATGTGATTGCTGTCGATAAGGAAGAGGATGATTGATATTGTGTTCTAAGTATTGTATTTGTGTACTTGATGGCTGTGTAATATCTAATGGACTGTTAGCTAAATTAGCACCGGTGTTACTGTTATAAATGCCTGTATTACTATCATTATGATTATGTTTGCTACAAACTGATATGAGATCACAGGGTAGCAGATAAGAGGATTCTGATTCAGTAGGTCCTTTATCTTCTTCTCTTATCCGTTTATGCTCTTGTAATAAATATTGTTGCTGTTGTTGTTGCTGGTGATGTTGATAGTGTTGTTCACTTGGTAATACAGGATTGGAAAGCTTGTTTAATGCAACATAATTATTATCTACACTACTCGTGGTTGGTTTATTTCGAGGAAATAAAGTTCTTGAAAAGTGTTTCATAGGTGTAGTTCTCTCATGTGTTGTAGACTTCTGTCTAAGTGATGTATAAAGTCTAGGTGATTTGTCAATATTTACATTCGTTTCAGTACTTCTATGCGAAGTGTTACAACTGATATTTGGACTATTTACAGTATGTAAATCGGTGGTTAAATTTCCCACAAGGTTATTATGGTTAAAGTTACACTTAATACTGTTACAATTTTTATTACTATACATACTACTACTAGAGCTACCATAATAAGTATTTTTGTCATTATTATGATCATTTATACTATTTTTATTAGTGTGATGTTTGAATCGCTTACTGTTGCGTTTGTTACGCTCTGGGGTGAGCTTTGTCTTCTTACTATCACAGGTTAGTTTTATATTTGTATCAAGTAATCCACACTCGTGTGAATGATGATCATTAGAATCTTGCATATTAATATGATTTTTATCCTCACATTCAAGCTTATCCTTTCTTTGATTTAAACGCTTAGATCTTCGCTTAGATCGTGCCCATAATATTGATGCAGTTAGCGTACAAATAATTGTAATAGCAAAAATTGCTAACAGTAGCGAAATCACCATGTTACTGATATTGATATCAGTCGGTAGGCGTACTGAACCAGAATTCAACGTGTCCAGCATATCAGATGACCATTGATTGTGTGTAGAATTGTAGAAATTTGAAAACAACATCTTTTGTGAGAAGTCATTGTCATTAGCTGAATCAGCTGGCCATATATTATGTACAGTAGGCGGTATAACTGGATCAGTTACTTTAACAAAAAACCATGCTGTTGTTTGAAGCGGTGGTTTACCATTATCTGTTAATTGGACACAGAGAAGATAAATTCCACGTCTAGAGTCTGATTCAATCGATTCAGGATTTGACAGCTTTTGATAATCAATAAATCTTGCACGAAACTCTCCAGTATTTTCATCTAAATGAAAATATTTTGAACCATTGCAACTGTTGTTTTGAGTATAAGTAATACGGCCATTTTCACCGATATCTAAATCAGTTGCTTGGATATGAAAAGCTATTCTTGAATAAATGTATTTCCTTAGCATTTTATCATTTACATTTTGTTTCAAATATGTATTATTCAGGGGTTTACGATTTATTATTTTATCCTGTTTAGTATCAACTTGATAAAACGATATTGTATCCCAGTTCTGTAATTTAATCGGTTGGTATATTATTGTCTGACCTAGTATTGGTTTTACGATAACTGGACTATTATCATTGATATCGACCACGTGAATAGTTAGTGTCGATGTACTCGTCATTGGATTCGGTAGACCTCGATCAATAGCAAGGATGTACAAAACTATTGTTGGACATTCTTCTCTATCAATCGATTGCAGCGTTATTAAATGTCCATTCTCTGATAATTTAAAATACATATGACTTTCATCGTTTTGGTTACATTTATTTTGTAATGATGATTTGTCATTTGCTTTTTCCAATGGTAATCCTTTGAGAAGGCTGATGTGTGCAATTTGACCACCTGAACCGGTATCAGGATCTGTAAATTTAATTAAACCTAAGTCTGTACCAATCGGTGCGTGTTCAACAACACTCAGTGTATCAGAACTGATAAGTTTTGGTCCATTGTCATTAACATCAAGTATCTGGACAATCACTGTGGCGATAGCGCTCATACGTTCACCATCAGATGGTTTGGGATTATCGTGGGCTAATACTTTAAAACGTAGTAAATCATTCTGTTCATAGTCTAATCGTTTAATCAAGAACACACTACCTGTCTGACTGTCAATTTTAAAATACTGAACAGCATTAGCGAAAGACATTTCTGAGTTGGCATCGTTTTCCATGAGGCTATAACTAATCCGTCCATTATCTCCACTATCTGCATCTTCAGCTGTTACTATCAGAACCAGCTTATTAAGTGGTTCTGCTTCACTTAGTAAAATTTTATAATGTCCATTTTTCGGTGCAAATGTAGACGATTTAAATTTCGGTGCATTATCATTAATGTCACCAATTGAAACAGTTAAATTGAATTGTCTTAACTGTTTCGGGTCGGCTTCATCTAAACAAGTAATTGCATAGTGAAGTCTTGGATTTACTTCATAATCTATTGAATCTGTTGTAATCACAGTCAGCATAGTTTTCTCTGGAGAAACAGTCATTCTTAATGGAACATTCTGGTCTACATCTGCATGACACTGAATCATATCACGGGATACTTCATCTTTATCACGAATCATAAGACGTAGAGCTAGTTGACCGGGTTCACTGTTTTCTTTGATAGTATTATTCAACTGTACAATTAACTGAGGTGGATTATCGCTGACATCCCGCACATGAATCGTCAACTGAGCTGTAGCTGAAAGTGGTGGATCTCCAGTATCGTGAGCAATAAACAACAGCTCTATATGCCTTTCTTGAAATGTTTCATAGTCCAAAACATCTCGAAGGTATAATTCCCCAGTCGTGGAATGAAAATTAAATTTCTCAATAACAGAAGATGGTGTGGTAGGATTTGCTGGGGCAAATGAATACTTAATAAGTCCATTGTCATCTGAATCGTCATCAGTAGCCTGTACCTTATATATAGGTTCATCAAACATTGTGTTTTCAGGTATTGTTATAGAGTCTTTTGATTTTTTAAATACAGGTATATTGTCATTTACATCTGTAATATGTACAAGTACAAGCATTCGACCAGTACGTGCAGGATGACCTCCATCAATTGCTTCAATAGTTAATTTAAAAATTCTCTGGTTAGATTTATCATAGTCAAGAAAAACACCTGGTTTAATAGAAAGACCTAATTTCTCTGCACTTGAATTACTATGAATTTGGAATGTTGAAGTCACTGGAATACTCCCATGTATTCTGTATTGTACAACTCCATTTGGAGAGGAATCAATATCGATAGCTAATGGTAATCCATAAGTTGGTCTTTCAAGATGCTGAATATCTACTTCAGAATATTTTAGTTTATTGTCTTCTGGTATCCATAATGAAAATGTTTGTTGAGGGAAATAAGGTGCATTATCATTAGCATCATGTATTTGTAAATTTATGTGAACTGTGATTGACGTAGAACCAGGATGAAAGAATAAAACATCCACGGTTAAATTGCATACAATTAAATGACAACAATTTAACGGTCCACACAATTGATCTGGATTGTCTCGATCAATTAATGTTTGTGTATAAAATTCACCGTTGTCTGTTACACGAAATAATTTTAATAAAAATCCACTTGAATCTACGAGAGTCGTGCTAACTGATGAATTAAGGATATTAAGAAATGGAAAATTTGGTATCTGTTTTGGAATGTTACCTATAAAATGATCTTGAGGCAATTCATCTGGAAGCATAAAATTCACCGTGTATACATCAGATACTGATCTACGTGTACGTGATACTGATGATGGCAAAATGGTTGATGCACTGTGTGCTGAGTGTATTTCATGTTTAACAGAATATGTTTCTATAGACAACATTAATGAGGATAATATCAGTATTTTAGATAGTAAGCCAAAGATTATAGCACAACAGCATACAGGCAACATGACATATTCATTAAAGCCATTAGAAATAAAGGTCAACTATGCAAGCATATTGTATGATTCGAGACGAGTGAAGTAATAAAAGACGTGTTTGCGTACTTTATGAAGATGAGCTGCAGGATCTACAAAAAATAAATAAAAAAATAACATATCTTAATAAATGGTCTAAATTCACGAAATTATCCGCCTGCACACACACGTGAGGTGAGCATAGGGCATGATAACCTATTCTAGTGTGATCAGTCTTGTTGTCTTCATAAACTAAACAAATGAATTAGAATGTTTGGAATAATGGTATGCTATAGATTTCTTTATCAGAAGCACTTTACTTCAACACAAAGCCCTCTGACTGTTGACTGAAATATTTGGTCAGAAGGTTTGCATTTCTGCATTGAAGGGGCTAAAATAAGTTCCACTTTGAACATAGGTGAAACAAACATTGGTACAGAATAATATGGACCTATTTTGTTTCGTTGGTTCTTATTGGCTGCAAACAACCTATAATATCTAATAAGATATTTAATAATACAATCTTAATATAAATTTTATTTATCATTATGAATTGGTCCTCCAGTAAGGATTGCTGTAAGAGAGTCATAAAGAAACAAAATATAAGGACGATCCGGTTTTTTCATATTATTAGTATATTCGTATACTTTATAAGAGCGAAGTTTCTGGTAAACAGTTCTTTGATGTTGAGGTGGTGATGAGTCACTGATAACTGTGTAATCAGAGGTAGTGAAATATAATGACTAGAACTCAAATGAAAATTTGGTGTGTACGAAGTTGACTGAAAAGGTAATGATGTAATCCAGTGAGTTGAATCCAAAGGATCAAAACTAAAGTCTCATGTGAAAGTGAAGCAAATAATCAGAGGGGGGGGAAGTGAAACAAAATGATGAAATTAGAAGAGAAAAAATTACTAAGCGGGAGAGTTACCAGAATGGATGAAGTTCCACTACAGACTGCTTATAAACACAAAGGTCAGATTCCAGTTCTTTTATTGGGACAACTATAGTAAACTGAAGAAGACTTGACCTGTTTTGTCTGTTAATTATTTTAAATGCTCCTAATGAGTCCACTAGGTGTCCTGTGTCTACTAGGTGTTAAGCTATTGTCGACTTCAAACTATTTGGTACCTCTTCAAAGAATCTGACATTGGTCCTTCTTTCCAACTGTGTATTCAATTCATGTGTAACTGATGGAGGAGATGGAGATAAGATCGTTCTGTGGAAGTGTTTTGTTTCAATACGTAGCCCTCTGACTTTTACATAGCAGGCTAATCATACTTCTGCTCACATTTAATAATATTGTCAGCACTTTTACACTAATGTGTGCAGTAGAATAGGAATACAGTGAAGTGGTCTAAATACACTCATTTTCCTAATGGTATACTAAAGAGTTATGGTGAAAGATGAAAAATGTTTCTTAGTACATTCATTGAGGAAATATCAGATTTCCGTCACTGTTTTACACTGTATTTTATTTTATTGACTAGTGACCTGTAGCCAATATGCTGCTTGAATTTCTATCCAACATACTGCAAAAAACCTTTATTTATTTCTATTAAAAGTATTCACCTATGTCTGTAGGTTTCCAAAATTTACTCATGCATGTACTCAGCCCACTGCCGTACACTTCTTGAAAGAAGTCAAGGAGAAACATCATTACGTCAAATGATGTATTTTAGATTGTTATTTTACCCAAAAACCCTGGCTGAAGAGAAAATATTGTGCAATAAACTACGCTAAAATCTCTGTATATTGTGTAGGCTTTTGTCTACAACAAAGCCGTTATTGCTACTGCTATTACTCCTATTATACGTTTGCATAGAAACAGCAGTGGTGAAACTTTCGGTTCTGTAACTACTAGTGTTTCTTAAAATTATACTCAATCACGGTAATCTGTGAGGGAGAAATTCATGACGTGACGGCTAATCAGTGCGCATGTAATACATCTGCGCCATCGCAGACGATTTTGAGACATACATATCACTGAAAATTTCACACCATTAATTCTTATGATTCTGAGAATGCAAGCAGATTCCACTTTTGTACGTGGATGAGAACGACGATGAAAGACGACCTTGTGTGCATATGCCATACTACCTATTGGTCACTACTAAGTTGGTTCTAATCTTTTTGCCAACTTGCCAACTTCATCTTGCTTCATAACATTCACGAACATTTTTTTATTTTCATGTATAATACTCCGTGACTGACATCACTACTATACCTGGCACTAGAGATTTTCAAAAGACATTCATTTTCTAAAATCGACAGTTTTTCGCATCTTCTATCTTTAGTTGGTAAGTCTTAGAACTTCAAGTCAGAAGAAAGAAGAGTGTTGAGTAGTACACACGTCGTTTGATCGACAGCCGGATATCACACCAGTATCAAAGACGACGTAAGTTGGTAAGCAATAATCCGAGATAGACATGACTCTGAATTTTATTAGTAATACAAACAAATATTAGTCACCTTTGAGAGTTATTACGTGAATGCTTATATGAAATTGTTTCCTTCACAAAAGTGCATTAATGGTCAATCAATTTCACAATTAGCTAGCTAGAATTCGGGGTTTTTCAACTAATTAGGCTCTCCAACCTCAATTAAAACCGAGAACATCGCTGATGAGCTCGTTCTGTGTTCAAGTCAGTTCATTTCGGCTAGCCATCAGTACTGGTTCATGTGAGTGATAAATGACTACTCAAATCAGTAACATATAGCATCACGCATTACTAGTAGTCACAAAGGTATTCCTTGTCAATTAGGTATTAGGTATTCACATCAGGAAGCATTTTATAGGAGAAGCAATCTAACATATGAGATTGATAAACGTTTTTTTTAAGAAGTGGTATTTTTCGCTTGACATTCTACCAATGAGTAGTATGTAAGATAGCTCGAGATAGATTATCGCTAGTTATTCGTTTTTCTTCTTGTTTTCTCCTGAAAAAAAATTAACTCTTGTCTCTTATTTTCCTAATCATATCACTAATTCTTATCTTTACTTGGTATCTTTATTTCTTATAATAATAATAATAACAATAATAATAATAATAGAGAAACTACTCCATATAGGATAAGCTCCTCCTCAATTATCAGAAATTGTCTTGTAGGTTTCATCACGCAAGTTCACATTCCATAATTTTCTATCTCAGTGAAAAAGATTGGTGAATTGAAATTACCTTAATACAGATGTATATATATATATAAACATTTGTCTTAGTATTTTCCTCCCTAAACTGTTTTCTTCATCCATTCTTTTTTTATTATTCAAATACTCCGATGTAATTATATGTGGAGTCATTTTCTGCATGACCTACTATTGAGCACAGCAGGTAGTTTAATTTAGTGAATGCCTTAAGCAAAGAAGAAAAAAAGAATATCAGAAATTTAGTGTTTAACAAACGCTGGTAATAATTGTAGGAATTATTATTATTATTACTATGATTATAATGGCTTAGAATGTTTGAATAACCTTCTCCTATTACCGTGATAAACGTTCATTAGTACAATTAAGTAATACTGTCTCTTTTTAAAGATTGACATTTGTTAAGGCGACCATGTATACGTAAATAAACATGCATATATATATGCATTTCGAAACGCAATAAAATGTCTTGTAATATGATAGACGGGCAATTTATTCTGTTGGTTATATAATGTTCCCTAGATTAAAAAAACAAAGGCAAGAGAACCTTAGGGAAGATGTTTTTCACAGAAAGATTTAATCTGACTGGCAGAAGGAGGAAAAAAGGAGACTTGGAATAGACATTTTAGTGACAAGAACTAAATAAAAATATAAATCGGAATTTATCATCAAAATTCTCTATATACTCATAATTAAAATGTCTAAATGCAAGAAAAGGATCATTGAGGTATATCTTTTAGGTGGATGTGAATGGTTTGAACAAAACAGATACGATATTTTGTTCATTGAGTCAGAAGATATTTTAATTATGTAAAATGCTGTAGAAAAAATTAATTAGTTATTTGACTTTCAAGTCAGGCATGTCCGTGGAAATTTCTGATATATAGAGGTATTACCTACCAGAAAAGTCATGATGATGATGATTGAGAAGTTTCTTTGTTAGATATTAAAACAGAGAATTAAGGAATTATGAATTATACATAACAGAATATAGTTTCTTTGTTTCTCTATTGTCCGGTAACAATGAAGTCAGTTTGAGTAATAGGAGAAGTTAAACTTTAAGCATTGAAATGAAGCAGCGCATAGATGAACCTGAACGCAACAATCACATGAAAAAGGCAATTTTTACCTATAAAATACACATTTACTTATGATATAAGTGAATTAAAGGCCATGAAACTGTTACACAGGACACCTTTCTCTGACATGTGACAAAAATGCCTTTCAGGTTTGGATGGGAGTGTCAGTAGAGTTATCAAATCACGTTATATACATGTATTTAGCTGGGTCTTCTAATCCTAATTCTAATATAAATTTATTAACTCAGTCTTTACTTATTTTGTGTGGGAAAAAGCCACCTTGTCAAGTGAATAAATCACTAAAACACATACAGATGATCGGATCTGATAAATTTGTGGATAATAAAAACAGTATGTCTTTTTGCAATGAAGAAATCTTATCAGATTTTGGTTTCCCTTGTTAGTTTACTGGAAGTTTCTCGCCGCAGCCCTCGCGTTGGATCCAGGTTAGATTTTATCTCAGTCCATCATTCCTGTTTAGACAATTGAAGTTACTTTTTTGTGGGGCGTGATAAGGTATTCCCTGTACTTTTTAATAGAGCTACAACGTTTGAACGTTTACAGTTCTTTAAGTAGAGTATCTCAGTTTAGGTGTAAGTTTTCAAAAGATATAAATAACAACACGCTTATAATAAGATATAATGGAATACTTCAAGAATGGAGTCCCAGTAGAACTTACTTCAAATTTTGATCCTCTATACTAGATGCACTGAAAGTTTTAATCGAAGACCTTTTTCTATTTAATTGACAAAATGTGCTGAACGTAAGGTAGTTAGTTAGCCTATAAAATTTAGCCCTTGTTAAAATACTCACTTTGTAATTGAAAAGGACATAGAAAAATGAGTTTCAAATGGTAGGCTTACACTTTTACTTATGAAACACGAAGCGTGTTTCGTCATTTCAGAATGAAGTAAAAGACTTGCTTTTAAATGAAAAATTACCTGCATAGATGATGGTAAGATTTTTTGGATAATACAAATAAAACAACAGCTTTCAGTTTGTTTAAGTTGATTTGTGTATTTACTGTTGATAGATTACTTTAGATTGAAGGTGGCTGAAACCTTTTCACACTTCGTCTCTTAGTCGAGTATGTCTGAAAGTTAATTGAACGTGATTTCGTTCATGAAAGCTAGCAGTAGCATGCAGGATGAACATTTTGCTCTATACGGGATTCGTCCGTTAGTTACATTCACACTGCTCATGAATAATAGTGTTGCTGTTGAAGCTCGAAGCTTTTTGATCGTCATCTCAAACATCAAAGCGTTATGAACAAAGCTAGTGGGCTACGGAAGCCACTTTTTGTGCAGTGGAGATCAGTCGTTACTTGCTGAGATTGTTTTGCATTCCCCCCATTGATTGGTTTATATTTTGTATCGAATTACTCAGTTTCTGTTGATATATTGACTCTGGACACCCAGTAGGTGACACTCGTTGCATAGGAGGCAGCTCTACTAGCTCACTGGCGCAGTGAATAACGCTTCGGTGTTTTAAACAACGGGAGCTGAGTTCTAGTTTCAGAAGTCACGCCATCCCTCACTTGAAATACAGGTGTATCTAGATGATGAGTTCCAAGCAGAACGAAATGCTTATCTTTTAATACATTATAAGCCGCCAGTAACTAGATAATTACTGTCAGAGTTGAGTAGTATAAGCAGACAGCATAAATTAAAAGTATACAAATTCTTAGTAATTCCATGTGGTAGAAGTCAGTGGCTGGATTGAATGAATAAGTCTCTATTTAATGGAAGAGTTTCATAGACTAAATATTCAATATATATATATATATATTTTAAAATATCATAATACCAGTTAGAATAGAATTCTGACACTGTGGAAGAGTTTAGTTATTAAATAAAACTATTCTTTTATGGAGTTACTGTTGATACAATAAACCATTACTCGCTCCTAGCTCAATAGTTCAGTATATTGTCTATTGTGATGACTGCATTCCGGTGTATTTCAGTGGGCAAAACACTATAACATGTGATGAAAGTGAAATTCACTTTTTTTAACTTTAAATATTTAACAAAAAAACAAAATTCAGTCTATGTAGGATAAATATCCATATCACTGCTTAATTTCTCGCAGAACAGAGTGACAATAGTGAGCGTTGATATAAGTCATACATTTCTCCTACTGATATGAGGTTCAGTGTTTTGCAGTACTAGCGGCCTCATTTTCCGAATTAGTCAACCTCAAAAATTCACACTTTTTGAATTAAGTTTTCGATAGTTAATTAATCTGGCTTACCCTTTGTCAACATTCGACCTTATTACATTATTGGTGTTATATTTAGAAAGCAGAAGGACTGAGCAAAGAAATATTCAGTTTTCAGTTAAATACTCATCCCTCGCTATACTTCAATATACATATACGTCATTTTTAATACTATACAAAAAAGTTTACCAATCTAGTGGCTATATCTTGGTTTACAATAATTAGTCAGTATTAACTTGTCAAGTAGGTGATAATTAATCAAGAAAATTAATACAAAACAATTAAACGTTAGAAATGGATAATTCTGGAAAAGTGAGGAGTAATTAAGAAATAACTGAGTGTTCAAGTTGATTACGTAATGGGCAATTACAGACAAGGGGGTCTGAAAAATAAAATAATTTTGACAATACTAACTTGTAGTTAATGATGAAGTAGACAGAAAACAAAAAATAATTTTGACAATGATAATTTTTAAAGGCTTAAGGGAAGAGTAAAATAGTCAAGTTTCTACATTCGTGTGACAATGACCAAGGTAAAGAAAGTGGCTGTACGAACTTCTAAATATACAGGTTTGGCTTCTTCAGGTGGATACTGATGGCTTCAGTTGTATGTTGAAGACAAAGTAGTAAAGCAAAAAATTAGGATTAGTTGGAGTGCGATAAACAACTTAAAATGCTTTATCAACATCAACTTTAGGCTAACTGTCTACAGGGTGTGCTGAAATAATGCTACGGATAGATCTTGTTTGTCTGTTGCTTGACCGTGTTGGATGACGCTTGAAAAAACGATGATAAATCTGCTCAATTGCACACCCGATGTAGCTCATTCAGCAGGTGCAATCAAACTGACAGATACACCCACAGAAGATGAAATTAGGTAGTTTTTTTTGTATTTCTTGACAGCAAAGTCAGAATAGTTGTGAAGAGACACTGTGTTTCCACACCAGTGAATGCTCTTCTAGCTGCATGCTTCAGGTGATGAGTTACTATTTCGGTGATGTTATCACCAAGGAACTGCATTTTTATTATTTTATTTTACTGATTCCCTAATCTATAATTGCCCATTACGTAGTCAACTTGAACACTCACTTATCCCTTAATTACTCTTAATTTTTCCAAAATTATACATTACGCAATTCACTTGTTGCATATATACATATATATATTAGAGTACAGTCAGGGATGAGTATTTAATTGAAAAGTGGATATTTCTCCACTCAATCCTTTTACCTTCTAAATGTCTATAAAGTTATTATATGCTTATTTGATAAACTAAATTTAGTGGATAATATACAACACCATGTATAAAACGCAAATGGAATGCCTCAGTCCTGATGACAAATGCTGTGAACACTGAGGAAGAAAATAAGACTCTAATGTAAACATCATACTGATAATATCATGAACCGTAATTCACTCTGAAAGCATCATCACTGAGAACTCTGACAAATGCAAAAAGCGTACCCAAATCTAACTATTTTGACTTTTCTAAAGAAGTTGAATAAGAGGGGTGTGCTAAAGGAAAATTCCTTATATCTAACATAAATCAGATTAAGTAATATTCACCTGGGTAATCATAAATACTACAGAAATTTGATAAAACCTTGCAAATCCGGTTAAAGAATCAGTTTTAAGAGAATGTTCATTTTATCGCCTGTCTCCGATGAGAAATTGTCACGGACAGAGTCGTCATTAGGTTTCCAATAGAGCCTCTACCTAACTTTTCCTATTTTGTTCATTCTTGAGACTACTTCTAATTATGGAAATAATCTCTCGTCTCCGTTGGAATTAGAAGTGTATAGTTGATCAGCTTACTGAAACTGGTTGGCCCTTCAGCTTCCATAAATATCTGAAGGCTTTTATGCTGTTATTAGTTTCATAGTTCATGATGAACTAAACCCTGTGAGCTACTATTCAGATGACAGTTCCTGGAAGATATCACAAAGAGTCTTTCCTTAAAAATCAAAATTTCACTAATGAAATCACTCTTTTCGAAGAAGACAGTGCATATTGGTCGCGCTATGTCGTGAATTGGCAGAAGTTAGAATTCATGGGCTGGCCATTGGATGGTGTATCAGTGGCTTAGTGGTCTACGAGCTCGCCTTGTAACCAGAAGGTCCTGGGTTCGAATCCCAGTGGGTGCGTACTGATGAAGAGTCTCAAACTAGGACGAAACAGCTGTCCAGTACTCCCAGGTTTTCCAGCTCATGATGAAATCCTCCATGCAATAGTATTAAAAGTGAGGAGACTGTTTCAATACATGGATAATGCTTCGAGACTAATCAATAAGCTCACACAACTATCCATCATCCAGTAATAAATGCTGTATCACTTTCCACTGAGTCAACTAAATTACCTAATTTGGAATTATATTCCAACAGAGTGCCTTTATTCTACTGTCACATTACCGTTAAAGATGACCTGAATGCAGATGTGGGATAGGGTGTTTTGAATACACTTTCTGTTCTGCAAGCTTGATAGCACATGACTGGTGACTTACAGAACCGATTGCACCTCTTTTGCTCTGTTAAACCGTTTTCGCTTATGCATAGATAACTTCCTTCATATGTGGATCAGGAAAATACGTTTTGGACAATCGACAGAATTATTATGAAAATTAAATATTTTGTATTTGATGCATACTTTACAGATTATAACTTACCTTTTTTTAAGGAATATTCATATAATCCATGAATTACAAGAAATAATAACTCCGAATGAACAGTATGCAGTCATTTTGATAAGAGTGATTCATATATGATTTAGAAACACGTTAGGAAATCCAATGCATAGTATATTTGCAAATTCAGATTTCCATGGATTACATTTGATTGGCTAATACTGGCCAATCACAAGTGAACACTTTTGTTCTATAATATTCATTTTTCTCCCACTTTGGTAATCATGATAATTACTCGTTATTTAATCAGTTTTATGAAAAGTGTTCTTTTTTTCTCAGAAGGCGTTGTTTTTATCAAAAGTATATTATCAGATAATTCGAGGTTGCTGGAAAACACTGTTATCCTTCGAAATAATCTACAGTTCTTTATTTACCGATAAATCACTATCCAGATATTTTTAGTTGTTAAACCGTGACATGTTTTCTTTATTACATAATAAATGCCATGATTATGATTTATGCTGTAAAAGTAAAAACAGAAGTTATGATGAATTATTTTGTTTATTCAGAAAAAGTGTTGATTTGTATATATATATATTCAAACTGTATATATATATATATTCAAACCTTCGGTTTTCTCAATATTATTACATTATGGAGATGGAAGTGATTTATTGAGTTTTCAAGGGTTATTCTTTAGGGATTTGATATGTTTCATGTTTGGCCATGAATTGACGTAATTTAGAGAATCGTTGAAAACCAGACGGTACTGGATAGCTGTTTCATCTTAGTTTTGGTCTCGTAGGCAACTGACCAGGGTTCGAACCCACGACCTTCCGATTATAAATCAAGCTCACTGACCATTAAGCCGCTGAGACTTGATTAAGTTGCTCATGAATTCTTACTCCTAACAGTTTTTGATTTTAACGCTAGGCAATATCATTGGCAAATGTTTTCGTCAGGTTGCGCCCCACTGATCCCGACGTCTCACTAGAACTCCAGTCAACTTCATCGTGTGGCCAGCCACTAGGGAGTGTCAGATAAATATTCGATGGTTAGTTTGTAGACGCTTGAATTTTTTCAGGTTCGATCGTGGATTGATATCAGTTAAAATCAAGGAGTACTAGATAGCATTTCCGTCCTTAAAGAATCTGTAAATTGATAACACTCACAAGTAATTATCAATCACATTAAGTGAAGATCAGCACTGGTTCGGTAGACTACGTTATCCAGTGAAGTAATGGCTTATATCCAAACGAAAACGTGGACAGCTTCATAATCCAAGCGAAGAGTTTCTGGATTGGAAGAATCGTATTCCATTTACTTCATACTATTGGGTCAGCTGGTCACGAGAGTTTCATTTACCTTTTTTCATCGAAATGATTTCACTCTAAGCATAATAGAATTATGGAATAGTTGATAAATCAATCATTGACACTACACTTGCTGAGTAGCATGTGTTTCTCAACTCAAAATGATACTGAATTTAGAAGCGGAAAGTAGATAATTAAATTATAAACTAAGATTTAATTTAGTTGTTCATCAAAAACATCACAGTTGCCATTCTTCATCAGGAAACTGACAAGAAAGGGATGCTGATGAAATTTAATAATGTAAATGGACAACCTATTTGCACTTGCAATGTTCAAAAAAATGTCAGAATACATCGTTTCAATGTTTACTTGAGAATAAGAATAGGCGGTTAACTAAAAAGAGACATTTTTGGGAAGACGGAGTTTGTACACTTTGCTTTACCTTTGTAGTCGTCCGCTTTAAAGTCCATTTGGTTAGGTACCTCATAAACTGGGCAGGAAAAACCTACACTAACGATTCCTTGGAAAACAAACGAAATGTACTCATAAAAAGCTAATTAAAATAGATTATCCCAGTGGGTTTAAAAGGAGGCTCAATAAAGCAGAACCGACCACATTAAAAAATACACTTGTTTGGGAAGCTCCCATTCAGTGGAGATGTGGACACTGAAGTTCTTTGCTGAAAACTACACAGAGTCATATAGAGGGCTCATACTGCTGACAGTCTATGTTTATTATTTTCCGAACGTAAGCTTCGTGGCTAAAAACATTTCTGTGGATGTTTACAAATTTAGCCGCTCCTGTGAAGAAAGCGATATAAAGCGAACAATTACGCACTTAAAGAAACGCATTGCTGGGCGCTGTACTTCTTGGTTCGGAGGAGGCCTGACAAAATATAGTAGAAGCCCAATTATGATTGGCGGTATTTACCAATTGTACAGAAGAAATACTTCCATGGTCATCTGTTGCATTTTATGGAAACTGTTGACCGAAGTTAGAACTCGTATTCAGTGCAGCACCAGAGATATGTGAATTCAGTAAAATTATTTTAGTCTTCATACGGAGGAGTCCCAAGCAAGAACGAAACGGCTGTCCAATAATCTCCGAATTTCAGTGGTTCTCTAAATGAAGTTAGTTCGTGACAAAACTTGAAATCAGTGAGATCCTTGCAGACCACTACTTGAAAACTACCAACATTTTTACTAACTTTGTTATCAATGGTTTATGTACAACAAAGTTTAATGCGGATAAATTGCAGCTCATACTTTTACTTTCAGACGAAAAAGTGACCTTCAACAACTAGCTAGCTCACATGGTCCCACTATCATTGACGGCATAGAGGTTGAAACTACATCAGATGTCAAGTACCTTGGACTGAGTATTTCCTCCGATCTTTCCTGGTCCTCTCACATCTTGCTAGTGACTAGAAAGATGTTTTGCTTAACGTTCTACCTTAGGAAGTTTAGGCAGTCTGGTATAAAGCAGTCTTTACTTTCTCAGTTTGTCAATTCCTGTATTCTACCCATCCCTCTTTACTGCTCCCCATTAATCTTCCATGGGCTACTTAAGAAAGACTTTGCTTCGCTGCATAGGGCACTAAAAGCTGTTAGTAGGGCAAGTGGGATTTCGTTAAACCAACTGGTTAACACAATTGTGGATAGACATATAATGTCATGTAAGAAACTAGCAAATTCTATATTGTCAGACCCCGAACACCCTCTCCATACGCAGCTCTCTCCTTGCATTTCATCTGGTAGAACTAGAAGCAACTATAGGGAGCTATATGCCAGGACTACCAAGTATAAAAACTCCACAATACCTTATCTGGCACAGCTGTAATGTGATGAGAAAACTGTTAGGCACGACACGATCAACTTACTGCGGCACTCTAACAAATAGTTCCCATTAGCTTTTGTTCTCCTTTCTTTGTTACTATTATATTGTTGCTCATATATTCTATTACAGACTAATTTTATATATCGTATCCTGTGGTGCACTGTTTAAATATGTGAATGCAATGCTGTTCTTTTTTTATTTTATTTCTTTTATTTCTCTTTTTCTTTTTGTTGTTGTTGCTTTATATTTCTAAATCCTTATAAAATTTATGAGGTAATTAGATGCAATATTGTAATGAACGCTGAAAATTCCATACCTGTACCACAAATACTGTTTGGAATAAAGCCATTATTATTATTATTCTACACGTCTAATGGCTACTAAATTGACTTAGAGACGAAGTATTTAGCCTCCCTGTATTTATCAGTTCAAATGGTCCTGTAGAGACATTCATATCTGCCGTTGCTCTTGGAACTCGATGTTTCATGCTGGGTATCACCTATCAGTGTGAATAAATAAAGGTGAAATAAAAAACACTTAACAGTTCAATACTAAAACACCTGACTCAAACGAACTACAGGGTCTGCATAGAAGAACCCTTTTCTACCATCTGTTTTGTACCGCATAAACTGCTTAAAGCCGATACGTACCAAATACTCCAAACTGGAGAAGCCATAGTTATTCGTTTAATCCAGATGGAATTAGATGTACCCTGGCATGCTTTGGAATTATTGAACTTATTTATATCTGCTATGTTACATCATACCTTTTAGATGTAACGTTTTGTCCTGTATTTGTACATTCACCTGCATCCATCATTCATTGGTTTTTCAATAAAATTTATTTGATTCCTTCACGGTTCATTTCTTACAATACTGAAAAGAATTCTTGTATGTTTAAAATTTAGTCTGGGTTATGTACATATACATATCTCATTTCATCTCCGTGTTTTTTTAATGGTCAGTCATTCATATTAACTTTACAATTAGACTGAATAAAATTCAGTCTGCACACTGTAATAATAATAATAATCACTTTATTCCACAACAATAACAATTTACAGCATGGAATTTTCAGCGTTTCTTTTACATATTGCAATGGTTTAGCTCTGTTTATAATTATATAAATGTATAAAATGTTAAAATATTGATAGTTAATAGGAAAAAACAAAACCCCAACAAAATCACACCATTGCTAGGTCATAGTGAATAATAAATAAATAATATAACAAATAACACATGCATTAATATGCATCAATACATATTATAGTTTCATATGGACAGCAAATTTCCTAACAAAACTTCAGATAATCGGTTATATTAGAGACAGTAGCATCCAACTTATCGTCGGTAAATAGTTCCCAGTTGGTATCATACAACCTGCTTCTTAGTGCTAGAATGTTGTCATGGGAATATGAACGTTCATGTATCTTCTTTGTTAAAAGACTAAACAATTTTTGTTGTAACTTGCCGTACACTTTCGGTAAAATACGAATAATGCAGTGGTCAGAGTGTAGCAAAGGAGCTCTCCTTCGGGTTTCATATACATCACGGTGGTTTATGAAAACCAGGTCTAGTGATTTGTCCAGACGTGTATTAAACTTGACTAGATTCTCATGACCAAGTGAAGTAAGAAAGCTGTGATCACATGAATTAAAATCACCACAGACTATAGACAACGAATTTCCGAATGCAGGAGCAGCGAATTCAGTAAATTCATCTGCAAACACAACTATATTAGAAAGGCTACAATTGAGTGTTATGTAAATATTTGTTATGTATTTATAAGAATATTTACTTAAGTGTTTTGGGCGACATCTGACACCTGAAAATCCAACAATATATATTCATTGTCATTCATGTTCACTTATCTGGATATTATTCTTCCTTTAGGGTCTGAGTGGGACATGCAGCAGTCCTCACGCGTTCCTTTCTAGCTGGCTCCACGATTGTCTATACACTCCTATTTTCTCCTCATGCTATCTCCTCCACT